TGCTGTAATTTTCTATTTGCATATGTAACAACAGATAGTTTAAAATCTTTAAAAATATTTTCTTGGACTATATTTGTTATAAACTGAAAGTTTTAAAACGTTGTAGTTGGTGTAGGTTTTATATACCGGCAATACGATAGTGCTTATTATTTTTTATAGCTCAGAGGCCTCAGCCGTGGTTCATTACCAGTATAATAAAACCCGCTATTATCGGGCTCCATGACATCATAATCTTCAATCTTTATAGCTGGCAAGTGGCAACCACATCAAAGATCACCAAATACTTTTATGAAGGCAGCAGAAGTCTCTGCAGGTTATGTATGTCTGCGGATACGCTAATATATTTTTACACATGATAGAAAAACTGCAGGGAATACATGAGTGCGTGTTATACTTGGATGCGTGTTATATTCGCTAATTTACGGTACTTCCCAGAGCTGGGAGCCTGTTCATTCTAGTGCTTTACAGTGCTGTAACTTGCTGCATTCATGGTGTCTCTTATCACACCCCTGAGCCAGAAAGTCACAGCGCAGTAAAGTAGCAATGTAGACAAGCCCTTAGACTAAGTTCCTTGGCAACTTTCATACATATACACAACCTATGCCTTGCGAGCCATATATGGCTCACATAGGAGCCAAATAAGTCTCGAGCTCAGCCCCCCTCCTCCTCACCACCAGCAACGGAGAGCCCATGCTGGCAATCCAGCCTTGCACCTCTCACAAGATTGGAGCCAGCACAGGCTTCCTGCAGGGCCAAGGGAGGGAAGCCCTGAGACTGTGCACCAGATCTGGCTTGTGGGGAAGCACACATGTGCTACTTCTCCACCTCCCCACATAATGCACGTGCTTCCTTATCCACCCTACCTTCCCCGTGCTCCGGGGAGGCAGGACATGGAAGCTGCATGGCCTCGCCTTGCCTAGTGATTACCAGAGAGAGTGCATCTAGCTGTGCCAGTGATGCTCATTGAGCATGCCGGGCTGGGTGCGTGGGCAGCTAAAATGGCAGTGGAGGATCTGGGTTTTGAGGATGAGGAGTGGCTGGATTTTCTGAAGAAGCAGCATGTGCACTTAACTGGCTGAGCTGCTCCCGCCTCTTCCCCATCCATACCCTGTTCCTGCACCATGCCTCCCACCCAGATTTTGCACCCCCATCCCTATCCCACTCTTTGGCAGCTCTGTCCTACATACTGGACCCCTCATTTTTGGCCTCATTCCAGAGCCTAGCGGGGCTCAAAAAATCCACTAATCCTGGAACCCTCAGAAGAGTTAATCTGGCCTAAGGCCTCGGTCCTCCCTGCCCTCTCCCTCTCCCACAATGGGGTGGGAGCACTAGGGGAGTGAAATGTTTCCGTTGGGAGTCACATCAGTGAGGGTTGGAGATTTATGGAGGGGTTGTGTTTTTGCTTTTCATTTGAATGGTACCTGACTGATTTTTCTGTGGTACCTTGGAGAACTGTTCCATTGTCTAATAGGTCTATGTTAATTAGGGATGTTAGTGGCTAGCTAGATAAGCAGTAGCTTATCGGTTAAATGGTTATTGGTTAATGGTACTGGTTAGCTGCAACAACCCTCCTATTCACCTGCGTGTTCTGTGCTTAAAACTTAGACTGGCATGCTGACTCAGTTCCAGCCTGCCGGTCCAAGTTTTAAATGAAGAGCATGCAGGGGACCCATCTGCCAGCCTATGCTGCTGCCTCTGTATGAGAGGCAGCAGTGTGGAGCAGCAGCTTTGGGCAAAGGCTGCTTCGGCATCCCACGGATAAGTACAGGTGGTGCAAACTGTGTGTAGATAGGACACAAACTTAATTTTTTCAGTTAAATCTCCCTTTCTTTCACCCTGCTTGGAGTTGAGGGCAAACCTTATCTATTATAAGTCCATTATGTTGTCTTTTGCTCTCTTTTCATTAACTTTTTAATTTTCTCATAGTAATAACTGCTCAAGTAATCTACAGTTGGTTAACAACATAGTAAACACATCATTATTGATTAATAATTAAATAACATTGGTTTTAATACAGGCTGGGGATCTCTTATCCAGCATCCTTGGGACCTGATCAGTCCTGAACCAGGGCATTTGCCAGACCCGAAAAGGTTCCCTGCCAAAGCCCCTAGTTGCTGACTCTGCCAGTTTGGGGTTGGGAGGAATGAGGGAACTACCTCCAGCCCCTCCTGGGTTGCTGGCCTCTCTGCTGCTGATCCAGCAAGACTGTCTGCTCGGCTCCAGCAGCCCAGGCTGCCAGGAGCTCTGGCCCTGGTTGGCTTGCCAGGACTGCTGAGGGTTTGGGCTCCGGTCCATGCTCCATAACAGCCTGTGAGTTCTGACCCCACTTTTACAAGCTATCCAGGCTCCAGCCCCATGTTGCCATGGGCTGCTGGGGCTGCCAGCACCCCTGACCTTGGTTCCACTGTAGCAGGCTGCCAAGAGCGCAGGCTCCTGCCCTACAGCAGCCTGCAAACTATGGCCCTGTGTGGTGGCGTATGCATTCCATGTCACTGGGGTGATTATATTCTGGGGTGCAGACTCTGCCTCCTTGACCACAGCTGGCCATCTCTACAGTCCACGAAACTTCCCTTGTCTCCAGGTAACCCCGAATCCCTAAGCAACCTTGCTTGCCGGGCAGTGTGGCCCAATGGCCAGAGTCAATTTACACCCCCCCCCTTGGTTCAAAGCAGTGTGGCCTACTAGCCAGAGTCAGGAAATAGCCCTCAGTTCAGGGCAGTGTGGCCTATTAGCCATAGTCAGTATGGTTGGGGCTAACACCCTGGTAGGGGCTAACGCCGGGCCCACGCTGCTTCACCAGGTCCCAACCCAGGGCCCTGTGATTGGCACAATGGTCTGCCACTCCCTCGGTAGGGAATCTGTCCAAAACATGCTGAATATACCTGGGCAGGAGAGGCTGCTGCAATATCCCGCCGGGTTACTTCCTACCGCTTTGATCAGACCAACATCCCACGTGGTAGCTGGGTCTTCCGATTCTCCAGCAGCAGCTTTTCTCTAGAATTCCACGGGGGTTGCGTTGCGGCCATGTCCCGAGTCTCTGGTTCCTACTGTCAGGGTTACTGGTGGCAGGAGCTCTAACTGGCCTGCCCAGACTGAGCTGCTCTGCTGCCTTTTATATTGCCCCAGCCATTTGGAGTCTGGATCAAGGGGCAGGAGTTCTTCTCCCCATGGGGTCTTAGCCCCACCTGCTTCAGTGTGGAGTATGCACTCCCCATCACACCCTGATTCCACTGGCTGCCCAAGGCTCTGGCCCTGGCCCTGGCCCTGGCCCCGGCCCTGCACTGCCATGGGCTGTTGCTGGCCTGATCCTACATTCCCATGGTCTGCCACAAACCGGTCCCAGTGCCATAGGCTGTCAGTCTGTTGGGGGCTGCTGCTGGTTCACGCCCTGCTGCAGTGGGCTGCCACCAGCCCCTGCCCTCTCCCGCCGCTTCAGCCTGGTCACTCCTGGATTGCCATTTTGCCACTAAGCTACCAGGGTTCTCTGATTCAGGAACATCCATGGTCATGTCGTCGGATGAGAAAATTCTGGTTTTGGGAGGTGCAGCCTGTACCATCATGTGTTGCAAGGAATCACAGGAGACACATGGTGGTTTATGAGCCCGAGTATAACTGCCTTACAGTGTTTGATCCAAACCAGCTGACACATTGTTGCCTCATTTTACTACTTCATGGTCTATAAAGAAGACATAATAAGTTTGTCAAAACATTTTCTCCCTTTTTTGTCTTTGAAATAACAGGAATATCAAGTCAGGTTTTCTGTGGCTCTGCAGGTAGACTTCTTGTAATTCTCAAATACTATTTGTAGTCTCTTTCAGGCTTATAATTAAAGAGCAAAGTATTGAATCTAAACCAACTTTGTTTCTTACTAATTTCTTAATCAGATACTAACAAAAACTTGTGTTTTAAACAGTCCAAATAAAAATTCTTTCCCCTGTTACTCAGATTATACTTGCTTGGTATTTGTGAAGTCATTCTACCAGTTTTCCAGTTGTTAATCTTTTGTAGTGGGCGACATTTGAATGTCTAATGTTTAATTTTTTTTAACTTCCCTGAAACTTTATAAAAAAGACACACAGAAAACCCTCTACTACCTCAGGTCATCTTTATTCATTGTAGAGAAGCAAAACATCCCAGCACATGTTCAGTTTTTATCCTTTGCAGGTCACCAGCAGAGGAAAAAGGTTAAATATCTCATTTGGGACCAATTACAGGCAGTCCCCGGGTTACATGGATCAAACTTACATTGTATCCCTACTTAAAAATGGGGAGAGGCAACCCCGCACTAGCTGCTTCCCCCCAGCAGACCAGAGAGACGTGAAGTTAGACCCCCCCCCCAGCAGACCAGGGAGACGCGGAGCGGCTTTTCTCAGCAGACACCTCAGCTTGAGAATAAAGGACTGAGGGAAGTGAGGTGTGGGAGAATAAAACTGAGCTCTGGAGAAATGTTTGGCTAGAGTTTCCCCTACAATATGTACCAGTTCCGACTTACATACAAATTCAACTTAAGAACAAACCTACAGTCCCTATCTTGTACGTAACCCAGGGACTGCCTGTAATCTCTTACCTAGGTTTTTCCTTTGGATATATTTATGCAATCTTTCCTTCCCTGGGTTAATACTGACTTAGTTGTATTTGCTACCATGCTTTTTGACTGACTTCGTTAGCTTTCTTCTTCTCTTAAAAGTACTTTTAAAACCTTGTTCTCTGAACAATCCCTTGTGAAGCAGTATTGGTGATAGTTTTTTCTCTTCTAAGAAACTGTAGTCTATTATTGATATTTCTTCTTGGCCATAATTAATTCAACTTAAAAATTAAATACTAGTGACATTACTTTTTGAAGTCGTGTAAAGTAGAGCTATACATCAGTAGCAGTGTTCCAGATATTTTAATTGCTTGAGTACAGTTTCAAAAGAGGTTGTGAGAGTGAGTTATGAATAGATGCACATACAATAGGGATGCTTCATTTGTTTAAAGCTTCTATTATGTTGAGACTTTAATGTTTAAACTTAAACATCTTCATTTCAGAGGCTCAGAAGATTATCAACCAAATATAGAACAGAGAAAATCTATCCAACAGTCACTGGAGAGAAAGAAGAAAATGTTAAAAAGAACAGATATAAAGACATATTGCCATGTAAGTGTTGATTCTTCTACTACAGAACAAAGAAAAATGTTAATTATCCTTGTTAACATATCTTCCCAGTTCTACTAATCACATTCTGTTGAACAGTTAAATTAGATGAAAATTGTTCTCCGTTTAAAGGTTTGTTGTTAAGACTCTCTTAATTGGCCGTTAAAGTTAAATGTTGCCCTGGTATTTGTGGTTATTTTAGCCTGCTAGTTTCTATTTTAACATTACTTAGAGCCATATTATTTCTCAAAGCAAAACTAAATTGTGGAGAACAATGGACTTTATACTCTAGACGTGTGGCACCAGAATTTTTTAGTTATTAAAATTAATTCAGTCTTAAACTTTAATTCAGGTTTGGGTGTTTAGCATTGGTTTTCCCCTCCTTTCTCAAAGGGATCAGAACTCCACTTATTTGGAGTGGGATGTGAAGACATATCAATGTAAATATAGCTGTGGCTTTGTGATATGACTGATAATTATTATACACAGGTTAAACTTAAACCTCTGTGAAAAATTGGGGTGGAGGGGATTTCAGTTCCTGGAGAATGTCTTTTTGTTTTTGTATTTTGGTAAAGCCCTATTAGGATTGGTGTCCCATTGTTGTAGACACTGGATAAACTTATAGAAAGACATGGTTCCTGGCACAATTGATTTAAAAAAAAAAAAAAATTATAAAAAGATTGCAACACACAGATTAAGGGTGTATCTAGACTACGCTAGACTTTCGAAAGAGGAAGAGGCGAACCCTCCCGTTTCTCAAACAAGTCGCTTTTCCTTAAATGAGGTTTACACGGCTTGTCGACAAACGGGAGGGTTCGCCAACAAAACCGTATCTTAATTACTTTCACTTTTGAAAGTGCTGCTTTCAAAAGTGAGCTTGAAAGAAGATAGGCAAATTCCGTGGGATTTGAAAGTCTAGCATAGTCTAGATACGCCCTAAATGACAAAGGTATCATGAAAACCTACTGTTACATAGGGTCATAGTAATTCTTGCAACAATTCATTCATTTGTTGCTCTGCATAACCAAGTGGCATAGGGCTCAAACACAAACTATACCTTGAGAACACAGGGGCCATTAACTCAGTTGCAGGAGGCTAGAGAAGTGCAGAGGTTTTTTCCAGTGCTAGGTCTGCAACCAATTTTGAATTTTTAAAAAGGTGGTCATCTTCAGTCTGAGCTTTCAGCCATGAATGTGAAAGTATGCCCAAGTACATGGTTAACCAAAGAGTCTGGGCTCATTGGTTAACTCTCACAGTTACACACAGCCCCCCTTGTTGCATGCTACCTCTGAGCGCCTGCCCCCTCCCTGCCTATATCAGAGGCAGCAGTGTGGGGGAAGGGGAAATGGGAACTGGTGATCGTGGGAAGCTGGCTCCCTGCGAGCCCCAGCCCCCACCTCCCCATCCCATGTGTAAAGTGTAACTGTTGAGAACTTCCAGCAGTTACATGTTTACACAAACGCATTTTAACATCCTTGCTTTCAGCATAGAATACCTGAAATCCATTATTCAATCAGTGAACTTGAGTACGTTCCATGTTCTCTGGATCATAGATATCTCAATGCTTCATCGCTACAGTTTACCTTCGTGGGCAGCACTCTGAGCAACAAGCCCTGCCTTTTGGACTGATAGAATTGTAAATATACTTACCAAGATCATGATCATGCCTGCTGCTGCACTGAAACAAAAGGCAGGAGTCCATTCTTACCTGGATGATTGACTTGGCTCCAATTTGTAGACAAAAACCAGGCCAGCAGGGTCATTGCAGTTTCCCAGTAAGCAATGAGTAGGTAATAAATCAGAAAAGTTCTGTCCACATCTAGCAGGTCCTGATAGGACATAGAACAAAATTAAAAGGCCTAATAAGCAGCTTCTACAAAATAGAATGACCAATGGTAAAGCTTTGATTATTCATCAGATAAACGGTGTGGTTTTGCTGCAGGCAGTAGGATTTGTGGTAAAATGTCTAATTGTCCTTAGCTTATTTCCCCATTGGTCCATATGCAATATTTATGGTACAATAGAGGGAAGTTAGGATATCACAGATGATTTTATACTTGAAGGATACCTAAGATGATGTGGCACTATCTGAAACCATTATTATCCACAAAGAAATGGCTGTTTATTGGAGTGGAGATGTTGAGCATAGATGATAACCTGAAGGGTTAGGATGTGTGCTCCCTTAGGGAAAGCAATGCTGCACAGCTAATGAGCAAAGAATGAATGAACGTGATCCATAAACAGGCTAGAGATGCAAAGAAGTGTGGTTCTTTGTATTGCATTTTCAGAACAAGTAACACTTGTTTTAGAAGAGTTTGTTGGACAGTGCCATGTTTGTGGAACAGAGTAAGCATCAGGGAGACACAAGGAGGTTAATGGTTTCTACGACCCTGGATGAGGGGTGGGGAACCTTTTTTGGGCCGGGGCCACTGACCCACAAAAAAATCGGTCTGGGGCCACACAAGTGAGGAGCCAAAAAAAAAAAAAATCCAAACAAATCCTCACTGACATGGCCCCTATCTGAGGAGAAAGACACTCCCCATATTTCCCTTGAACAACAGAGCCTGGGGGCTCTGTCGACAGAAGGCGTTATGCCTCGTAAAATGAGGTTTACTGGCGTCGACAAAACTGCTGAGTTCTGTCGACGATATGTCGACAGAACTCAGCGGTAGTGTAGATGCAGGTATAGTTTTGTCGACAAAAGTGGACTTTTGTCGACAAAACTCTGTAGTCTAGACACACCCTTAGAGCCTTAGTTTTTCTCTTTTAGTTTTTTAAATCATAATTGAAACAAACTCCATACTAGCTCCGCAGAACATAGCTATATACAGGGCATTTGGGAATTGAATGAAGTGTTAATCAGTTGTGTGAAAATTGGAGCAGACTTCCGGTGAACTTGGTGGCATTCAGGTACATTGGAAGTCTAGAAATACAATTCCTGCTTAGTCGAGATGTGAGAATATCTTCAGATATTCAGGGGGCCCTTCAGTTAATTAGGGGAAAAAAATTTGATGTTGGTATCGAAGTGAAAACCAGAAAACTTTTTTGGGAAACTCTTATGAATCCTTTTGTCATAAATGAGGGAGAAAAAGCACAATAGATGTTTTATAAAACATTTGCCAGTCATCTTGAAATTTTGCAGAAACTGCTGTTGCCACCAGAGAGAAGTGTATGTATGACATACTCATAACCATATTCCATTCTAGTTCCAGCATAAACAAATCAGTCCATGCTTTATTTTAATCTGCTCTCACAGCATTTAAGAACTATCTTAAATTCTGTTTCAATTGAAAATGTTGAACATTAAAAATTGGTCATTCTGGATAATTAAACTCTAAACTGGAACCATAAATGTGTCTGAATATAACCAGAGCTCTGTGTATTCTGTAATAATAGAATTTACCCCAGAATTCACCCTCTCTACAGAATTATACTCCAGGCTCTCAATTTATTTAAAAATGTATTTAAAAAAAACTTCCAAGTAAGGGCTACAGAAACTCTGGAACATAAAAATGGCTAAACTGTTACAGCGTGTTCCTCCTGGAATTCCAGATAGCTTGAGACAACAGCTGAAAGACATATGAATGAATGATGCCATAGAACGCCTCAATTGTGCAACACTGGTGTTTCCTCAAATGCCATACTTCAGGCATTTCTCTCAAGGACTTTGCCATTGACTGGCTATGCTGAAACTGGATGGGTTTATTCCTAAATGTCAGGTAGTACCTAGCAGATAAGTATTCAGTTCAGGTAATTCTATTACATACTATTGGGAAGGAGAGCTGCTGTCAGCCTTCCTGCTTTACCTGTCCTGTTCCTAGCCTATCTGGTCCTGGGACCTTGCACCTTTCCTACTCCTCAATTGAGGGTAAAGGAAGGGCTATAAAGAAGTTTCTGCTCCTGTAAAGAATGTCCTTTAAATCCTTTATTAATCCATTTTATCTGATCACAATATCCCTATTGTACAGAATATCTGTACTAAACATCCACCACAAGCAGGCTCTACCAATGAGCTTGGCTGCATTCCCACCATATGTGGTCGGGTTCCTAGACATCCACTAATGTCCTTTTCAATATCAGTCAAAAACTCTGTAAATTCGTAAGGTTGACAAGTGGGCCCTATTCTCCTTGAAGAATAATAATAAGCCCCTTATACTATGTCTGGATGAAAAATTACTTCTCAATGCCATCTATGATTCTGGTGCCCTCCTTATTTGCATAGCTACTAGGTTTGTCAACCCAAGGGAAGTTTCACATTTTCCTGCCACACACTATATTGCAACACGTCTGCTCAAATAATTTTTCCTCCAGGATCTACCCTAAGTCCCTATTTGCTATGATTATTACATATTTCCAAATCATTGCGGTTCACTTTGGAGAAGGGGAAAGAATCATGAGACACCTATACCTGTGGATGTGGATAGCAGCAGATATAAACCATTCAATGGAATCACAGCACTCTCTCAGGAACTGCAGCAGGAAAGGGAACAGAACATGGGACTGCAGTGCAGCTGTACTACCCTCAGCCCTGCCCACTGGGGCAGCCACCAGGTGCTCTGGCAAGCCCCTGGACAGAAGATGCAGACAATTGTGTAGATGGGATGGGGCAGGGCTGAGGGTCATGCAAATTTGCCCTATCCTTGAACAAAGTCATCTAAGTAATGAACTACCTGCAATAAACTAGCATTACAGCCCAGTATATGGAAAAGGTTTCATTCAATAGCCTCTGCCACTCGATTGAGTTGATTATCAGACTCCTTGAACCTCAGCTAGGGAGTGCACCTTGGTCATCTCCTCCCAGAACCACATGCCCTGGGTCTGGAGATCATGTTGCACATATGTCAACTCAGAATGGTCCGTTTGTCCTGTGTGGTCTTGCTGCCATATCTGTCAGGCAAGGACTCTGTCAGGAGGCCCTCCAGTTCTGACTTTTCTGCATCAAGCACTTAATTCACCTGGAGGCCTATTGTCTCCCAGGCATCAGGAACATACTGACCGCTCTT